AATTCTTCTACTGAAATTTTTCTTAGTATCTGTATTGCAATTCTTATTTAAGAAAATTATGTTAAGCTTCATGCTTACCAATTTCAGTTATTTATCTTTCATTCCTTTTTGCGTTAAAATATTTTTTTTTTGTCATACATTTCCAACATGTCATGGGCCGATCTATATTTCTGTCACCTAATTTTATTTTGAATAAGATTTTATAATTATTACACAACATAACATTTTAACTTGCTTTACGAAAATTTTATGTCGGAGTGGCTCGTAATATGCTTAAATTTTTAAATTTATATTCAGAAAAAAGAAATTAATCAAATGTAGATATACATATATAGTAAATTATTATGTGAAAATAAGTCTAGAATTAACTTCTAGTATATCGAAAAGTTTTACATTTTAATGAGGTAGAGGAACTTTTTCTTTTTAGCACTTTTTCTTATTCATAGCAAAATATTAATTCGATATACTGTGGTAAAGCCTTATTAACTTATTCTTTCTTTTTTAGCCCTACTTCAGGTTCTAATAAAGTTCATAAATTAAAAAAGTTTCTTTCATTTATTCGGAAATAATATCCCTTTTGGAACAAATTATTATCAAAAAATTGGCGGCGGGTCTTCTATTTAGCCTTAGTTATTTCTATATCAATTTAAAAAAAAATAAAGTTCAAATATTTGTGAATGTTCCAATCCGTAGTAGAACATATTGTATATTTCCATTAAAGCAAATGTTGGTTGATGCAGCTAAAAATTTATATGGGGTAGTTTGCAATTAAAATCAAGTTACGATATGTAGTCCAAACTGTGATTTAATAGCAAACCTAAAAAAAAGTTTAGTTGTATATAAAATTTAGTGAAGCCATATGGTTTGCAACCTATAAAATCATTTTTTTTTTTTTAAAAAAAAAAATTTTCTAATTAGAACATTTGATATATTTTATGTTTTTTACCATATATTTCTTCACTGAATTTTTTGTAATCTGAAACGTTAATGCATTGCAAATTTTATTTAAGAAAAATTATAGAATATCGTCTCAAGCACGCTACCCTTCATGATTACAGTTACTTATTTTTTTATTCCTTTTTTTGCATTAAACTGTCAAAAAAAATTTATTTAATTAAAGTTTTATATTTGTCATACCTGACCGATCGTTCATATCCAATCGTGCCGTATTAAAAAAAAAAAAAAATTTATTTAATTAAAGTTTTATATTTGTCATACCTGACCGATCGTCATATCCAATCGTGCCGTATTAAATAAAAAAAAAAAAAATTATGAACATCGTAATAATTAGAATACAGAAATGGTTTAAAGGCATTTGATTACCCTGATATCTGTAAATTTTCGAGGTAATAATCAGTATATAAGGCCTACCTGACCTGATTTTTCGACAAGGAAAAAAAAAGACATTTCATTCATGAAGAAAACGTTGCTATACATTTTTTTATTATTTTCATCGGCCGTTAGTGCTGATTGGATCACCGTAGAGCATGAATTTATGATGTGCGACCAGCACGTACCTTCTGATAGTGCGGCGTTTCATATTGATGATGATGGCGTTACTTATTCAGCGTCCCTTTTGGTCAGGAAAATTCAAACTTTAGAGCATGAGCCTCCCTCAACAACTGTTAACATCACTATGTGGGGATGTACCTATGATTGTAACTTCAGCTTTATAGTGAAAATAAAAAGGGATGATTTTACTGTTTCATCGTATACCGAAAAAGACCTTAATAATTACATTTGTAATTTAAGTAATTACACGATGAAACTTATTCCGACCCCTAAAATTACATATCAGAGTGCAAAACCGAACCCTGATCATGTATTTCCAACTGGTCTAACTGCAAAGTATTGCAGTGAAGGCAAACACCCAGATTTCCCCATGAATACTTTTAATCAAACAGAATATGTAGCCGAATGCATCGATCATTTAACTGGAAATGAAGTTGGAACATACGCTGCATCTCTTCAGTTCGGTTCTGGCAGCTCGTTCATTCCTGATGGTTATGGTGTTGCTACATATCACATGATTAATTCTGCAAACAAGCTATTCAATTATTGGGAGAAACACCATCGAGGGTACCATGAAGCCATTCGTGAACTAAGTGTTAACATGAATCCCGATAATTTAAAACAATTGATCCCTCCGCCGCCGCCGCCGCCTAAAAAAAACCTGCTCAAATTAATTTTAATTCCTATAGCCGCCGTTGTTGCTACGGTTGCTCTTGGTATTGCTGGATCATATTTATTTCTTGGCACCGCCGTCGAAACTGATGTCGCCATATCAGCTGCTTCCGAAGTAGCCGCCGAAGTTGGTGCTGCAGATGATGCTATAGCAGGAACAGTTGAAGGAACGGTAGCCAGAAATGCAGCGGTAGGTTGGAGAAGTGCAGTGCTCCATTCCGAAGCTGCTCAAGAAGCAGATCAGCTTGCTATAGAATACAGAGAAATACAAGCCGTTATAAACAATTGCATTAATGTCTGTGATGATTCTTCATTAGTGCAAATCGGAAAATTCTTTGAAAGATCAGAAGACTCGAATATTGCACAAATCCTTGCAGCTTTGAATGCAGGTAGGATCGCTCACTTAAGAAAGCGGGATACGTCGTCGGTAGATAATATAGGATTTTTTACGGCTAACATGGTGAATATGTACTTTCTTCCAAGTTTAATGGACAATGTTCATCAATCATTTGCCGGCAATGGCCAACAATATAAGGATATTTCAACATACTTATCAGCCGCAAGTGAAAGTCTCCAATATCATTTTGAAGATACATTACATGGTAATTTTTTTACTGCAAACAAGTCAGTATTAGCTGGTTTTACTGTTAATAAAGTGGCGACTGTTTATAAACTATTTGATGATGAAGATGAAATATATCTTTCTACTAAACAAAATACATATAACACTATGGCGGCATCAATAATAAGCTCTACCTTACAAAAGTTTAATGTTGAAATATGTGACCCAAAGCCTTCATTTTGCGGACAATCTTGTGATTCTGGTCATGTTTATTGTCCAATAGTCGGAAATGATACTAATAGCTGTGTAATATCTGCCTCTGATAGCCAATTAAATGAACTAAATTACCTTCGAGATACCTTTGATATATGTTCAACTGATAATAGTACTGGTTGGAATATAACCCATAATTCTAATTGTGACATCAAACAATTCCAATGTCAATAATAGATCATAAATTACCCAAACGTGAATGCAATATTTAGAGTCTATGTTATTGTTGGTTCTTTCAATATTTGTTGAATTGTTTGGAGATTTTAGTGAAGAATTTTATATTATTTGTCAAGCTATTATTTATTTAGACGTTTAATTTCTAATACCGCACCGTTCCGAAATTATGCAACCCGAAAATCCACCAAATTAATATAGTTATGAAAATAAGCAACCCATAGTTTCTTATAAATTCCTGTAATAAAAAAATAATTAAATATAATAGAAAAAAATTAACAAAGTAATAAATGCAATTACGGTTATTTTGTTGTGCCCCAAGTTAATGATGCAAATTTCGATTTCGGGCAATCCAATTTGAAATTTCAAATTTGGGCAATGCGATTTTGCTGCCCTAATTTAAAATTAGGGCAAATTGAAAATTGAGACATGCGTGACCCAAGTTGACTATTGCCCCAATTTAAAATTGGAACAAATTGGAAACTGGAACATGTGGTACTCCAAGTTGACGATTGACTTAATTTACAATTGGGATAAATTGGAAATTGAGACATGAGGTGCCTAAGTTGATTATTGCCTTAATTTACAATTGGGGCAAATTAGAAACTGGGAAAATGGTACCGACTATTGCCCCAATTTAAAATTGGGTAAATAAAGAAACTGGGAACATGGTATCCAAAGTTGGCTATTGCCCCAATTTTAAATTGAGGAAACTTGAAAACTGGGAACGCGATACTCCAAGTTGGCTATTGCCCCAATTTTAAATTGAGGCAAATTGGAAACTGGGAACGCGGTGCCTCATTGCCCCAATTTTAATTGGGCAAATTAGAAACTGAAAATGTAGTACCCCAAGTTGACAATTGCCCTAATTTAAAGTTGGAGCAAATTTGAAACTGGGAAAGTAATACACAAGTTGACTATTATCTTAATTTAAAATGGGATTAATTGGAAACTAAGAATGCAGTGGCTATTACCCAAATTTAAAATTAATATGAAATGTGATGTTTCAAGTTAACTTTCTCTATATAATTTAAATTTTAAAATTATAAATCAAATATTATTTTTTTAGTTTATAAATTAAAAATAAATATTTTGTATCCAATAAATTAAAATTAAAATTAAAAATAATGAAATTTATTTTTAAAACATTTACTATTTATATAATATTTTTTACTTTATAAATTAAAATTATTATTAAATTTACTAATTAATTAAAATAATATTTTATGCAAATTTGCTAGAAAGTATTTTATTTATTTAATATTTAATTAAAATATAAAAGCTATTTTTGAAATTTAATTATTATTCTTTATTCTTTTACTATTATAAAGAATAAATTCCAGAATTTTGATATTCTTTACCAGGATTACATTTATTATTACAAGCTAAATTTTCTTTTTTACAAGAACATTTTATTGTATTACAATTAGTATTAAGACATTTGCAATTAACTTTCTATTTAAAGTATTATTTTGTAATTTAATTTCTTCTATAACTGTTATTATTTATCTGATATATCTATTAATTCAATCATTGATTCTAATTTAGTAATTTCTAAATTTTTTCCTTAATAATTTATATTTAATATTCCTTTAGAGCATTCCAATTTATAAAAACCTTTAGGTTTAACTTTAAAATCTTGCATAATAAATAATTATATGCTAATTTTGCTTTATTTATTTTGAAATTTTTAAATTAATAATATCATCAATCAATTTTATATAATCCCTTTTTTTTAATTTTTTCTCCATCAAATTATTCATAATTTTCTATATTATTGATTATTAATTATTGCATTATTACGTATTTAATCATGAGAAAAAAAAAATTCATCATTATTAAATGAATTAAATTCATTATCTGATGATAAATTATTTTCATTATCAAATAATAAATTATCTTCATTATCAAATATTGATTGAATTTCATTATTAGAAGTTGATTTAGTTTCATTATTTGATATAAATTTTGAAGGACCAATCTAAAATATTAATTAATTAATTTATATTATAAAAAAATTATAGGAAAATAAGTTATTAAGTAAACTTACTTGTAAATTATCATTTTGATTTATTTGTTTTAATATATCAAGCAATTTAAAAAACTTTAATTCCTAGATATTTAATAAAATGTCAAATTATTTAGTAATATATAATTTTCTAAATCATATAAAGCCATTTAAATTTCTTTTTTAAATACACCCTATAAAAAAAGAATGTTCAGAATTTAACAGGTAAATGTATTAAAATAATAATGTACAAATTTCAGACATTTCTATTATCTAGAATATATTTCAAATCTTGGTAAATTCTGAATATTTATTTTGTCTGAAATATGTTATTGTTTAAAATTTCAATAATTTATTTCTTTAGAATGTAAAACTGGATATTTTTCAAATAATTTTCAGAAAATATTTCTATTTTCTGAATGTAATCCATTGCTTTAACATTTTCTAGATATTTTCACTATTCATGAATTAAAATAATAGGCTAAATTATAATAAGAATACAAGCCAAAATTAATTTTTAATGCAGGTCAAAATTAAATTTTTTATTGCAGCCAAAATTTAACATTAATATATTAAAATATATAATTTAATACATAATATAAAATATAATACTACTCAAAATTAATTTAATAATAATATAATTAACAAATAAATTTGTTATTATTATACTATCAACAAATAATACTGAATCATATTGTACAGACAATACACTTTGAACTTATTAGAAAATAATTTAGACCTGACATTACACATCATCTATTACATACAACAATTCATGCAAATAATTTTATGTAAAACTACATTTCAAGCACTATTTAAGGATCTGAATCAGATTATTCAAATAGTACCTCTTCTTTTAGAATGTGTATTTAAAAAGATAAAAAGATATCAAAATCATTAAATATTGTTATTCCTAAAATAAAATAAATATATTAATTTAATAATAATGTAATCAAATAAATTATAAATTTGTAAACAAATATATTTAAAAGATTCTTACTACTAAATCCTTAAGTATAATTATCCTTAAAATAAAAAAATTATAAATACTAATTTAATAGTAATATAAACAATAACATACATTACAAATGAATATACCTGAGAGATAGATTCTCAATATAAAAAATTTCAATATTGCTACCTTGAAAATTTCATATGAATTTGAAGGTAATATTGCTATTAATTTCATAATCTCTAAGAAACTATTTATGTTAGAAATGCTAATTTAAGTCTAAAAAAGTTATAATACTAATTTAATAATAATATATATAAAATAAATAACAACTGAAATATGCAAAAAATATATCTAAAAGGTTTTATAATAAAAAGATATTTAATATTAGTATTTTTTAATTAAAAATAACATATTTAAATAAAATAACAAATACAACAATATTCCTTACCATTAAAATATTTCATATTACTATTTTTAAAAGAAAAAAGAATTATAATTACTACATTACAAAAAAGTAACCAAAACAATATAAAAAGTTAATATATATATAATTTTTATTATGATTAAATTAAAGCTCAGAATGGTTCAGAATAATCTAAAAATTTTCAGTTTAGATCAACTTTAGTTTAGTTTCAGATTGCAAAAAATTCAATCTGAAAATTTTTGGTTTAGTTCAGATTTTTTTCAGATTATAAATCTAATCTAAATTGAAAAAAATTCAAATTGAACCAAAAATTTCAGATTAATCTAAAATTTCAGATCATTTGGAATGATTAAATTTATCATTCTTTTAGAATGATTCTTTTATTATTTTTTTAGAATGATAATTTAATCGTTCCAATTAAATGATTCTTTTATCATTCTTTTAAAATGATAATTTTATTATTCTAATCAAACAATTTTCTTATTGTTCATTTAGAATGATAATTTAATTATTCTAATTAAATGATCCTTTTATTGTTCTTCTGAAATAATAATTTAATTATTTCAAATGAATGATTTTTATCATTCTTTTGGAATAATAACTTCAATCACTCTATTTGAATGATTTTCTTATCATTTGTTTAAAATGATAACTTCAATTATTCCAAATGAATGATTTTTTTATCATTCTTTTAAAATGATAATTTAATTTTTTCAATTGAATAATTCTTTTATCATTCTTTTGAAATGATAATTTAATCGTTCTAATTAAACAATTTTCTTATCATTTATTTGAAATGATAATTTAATTATTCTAATTGAATGATTCTTCTATCATTTATTTGAAATGATAATTTAATCATTTCAATCAAATGATTTTCTTATCATTCATTTAGAATGATAATCAATTATTCCAAATAAAAAATTTTCTTATCATTCATTTGAAATGATAAATTTAATTATTCTAAATTAATAATTAAAAATTATTATTAACAATAAAAAATATTACTGTGAAAAGCTGTGAAATGTGAAATTGTTAAATGAATGTTTGACTATTTTCTTCAAGTAGAATATTTGTATTAACTATTTTCTCTTTGATTTTACAATTAATCTTAGTTAGCTTTACCACTTATTTGAACTTATCAAATTTTACCATAAAATTTTATTACTTAGCTTTGATAACTTCACCACTTGGTTTTTTAAGTCAATTTTGCAATCTAACTTTGATGGCTTTGCTACTAACTTTTTATTACTTGGCTCTATCAAATTTTGCTATATAAATTTGCTATTTAGCTTTGATATCTTAGCCACTTGGTTTTGTAATTAATTTTGCAACATAATTTTATTTGCTTAGCCATTTAGCTTTTTACTACTTGGTCCTATCAAATTTTACCATATAATTTGCTAATTAGCTTTGATGACTTTGCTAATTAGTTTGTATTTATTAAAATATCATTTATCTTTGCTTTCACTTAATCTTTTACTATTTAACTTAATCACATTTAGCCATTTAGCTTATAACTTAATTAATTAATTAGCTTTATTAGCTTTTTCTACTTGCTTTATTACTTTACTAACTTTATCACAATATTATAAATATCATAGAAAATTATCTGGGCACTTTAAGTTTATCTTTTAATTTTTTTATAATTTTATTTAATAAAAAATTTTAATAAAATGGAAAATGAATCATATTCTGATAATGGTAAAGAGTTTTTAAATGAAGAACTCATTTAAATGTGAAGGATCCTAACTAAAATATCCAAGATGAAGGATCTAATTATGAGAATAAAAAAAAATAGAGATCTATAATTCATAGTAATTATACTCTCAATAAAGAAAGCAACAAATATCACTGTAATTATTGTAGATAAAATTTAAATTTTTAGTAATAATAATAATTAAATATAAAAATTAATTTGATTTTTTTTTAAAATGTAATTTATAAAATTCCTAAAAATAGATCAACTTCAACTTTAAGAACTTATCTTAAAAAAAAATATTTACATTTATTTTCAAAAGTTAAAGAGCAATGGATAAATATGTTAATATAAAAGATTCCTTAGTATGTATATTATTTTTATTAAACAACATTTTATTATTTTCTTGATCTTTAATAAATAACATCTCTATTTTATCATCTTATTCTTAATTTTTATCTTTGTTTCTTGTTATTTCCATTTTACCATCTTGCATCTGATCTTCATTTTTATTTTATAATTTACTATTTTGTATTTGATCTTCATCTTCATCTTGTGATTTGCTATTTTATACTTGATCTTTATTTTTATCTTATGATTTTCCATTTTGCTCTTGATCTTATTTACTTTAGCATTTTTTCCTTATCTTATAAATATTCACCTAAATTAAAAAAAGAAGAAAGAAAGTTAAAATAAAATAATTTCAATTAATTATAATAATAATACTTAATTTTATTATTAATAATACTTTGTATTATTTTTTGTAGCCCAATTATTGATACATTAGAAAAAGAAGAATTTTTTTTGTTTGAACTAATAGTATAATATATTAATAAATTAAAAAAATCTAAATTTCCAATTATTTGAAAATAAATTTTACTATTTTAATAAGATTTAAAATTATTTACATGTCTTGATCTTACCATTTTTTATTTAAATCTAATATTTCAGCTTTAATTAGATCATGCAAATCACTCTATAAAACAGATTAAATATTAAATATATTAATTTTAATTATTATTAATGTATCAAATAGTTTGATTCAGTCCAGATTATAAGCTAATCTGAAACTGAACCAAAAATTTCAGTTCAGTTCAGTTTAGATTATAAATCTTAAAAATACTAATCTGAAACTGAACTGAACTGTAAACTAGTTTTGCAATTATTCTAAAATTCCCTTGGAGTTTTGCAAGTAATTTGTGATTCTCTTAAAGTTTCACAATTACTTTACAATTCTTCTTGGAGTTTCACAAATAATTTGTAATTCTCTTAAGAGTTTCGCAATTACTTTATGATCTCTTAAAGTTTTGCAAGTAATTTGTGATTTTCTTAGAGTTTTGTAATTATTTTGTGATTCCCCTTAGAATTTTGCAAGTAATTTGCAATTCTCTAAAGAGTTTGCAATTATTTCATGATTCTCTTAAAGTTTTGCAAGTAATTTACAATTTTCTTAAAAGTTTCGCAATTACTTTGTGATTTCTTTAGAGTTTTGCAATTCTCTTAGAGTTTCACAATTACTTTATGATTCCTCTTAGAGTTTTGCAAATAATTTGTAATTCTTTTAAGAGTTTTGCAATTATTTTACGATTTTTCTTAGAGTTTTACAAGTATTTTGCGATTCTTTCAGAGTTTCACAAATAATTTGTGATTCTCTTAGAGTTTTACAATTACTTGTGATTCTCTTAGAGTTTTGCAAATATTTTACGATTCCCTTAGAGTTTTGCAAAATAATTTGTGATTCCTTTAGAGTTTTACAAGTGTTTTGCAATTTTTCAATTCTCAAAGTTTCGCAATCTTATTTTTACAATTCTTTTAGAATTTTTTTTTTAATTACTTATTCTTTATAAATTCATTATTTTTTAACATTTATTTAGTTTTAGTAATATTTATTTATTTTAATAATTTAAAAATAAAAATTAAATTTATTATTTAAAATTTATAAAACAAATAAACTTTGTAAGATAATAATAAAATTAATAAAACTATGACATTATTTTTTATCATTTTTTTCACTAACTTTTTAAATACATATAATTTCTAATAGTTTTTAGTTTTAAGCTGCACCTTTTATGTGAAATTAAATCTGTTCTACTAGAAAATACTTTTTTAATTGGAATACTTGTACCTATTTATTATAATGAGATATTAAATTCAAAATAATTTTTATATTTAAGTATTAACTTATAATGACTTACTAGGAATTGCTAAATAATTTCTTGCCATTTTTGATAAATTTGGAAATTCTGCTTTATGTGACTATAAATTAAATTAAAAAATTAAATTAATTCATTATATAATTAAATAATAATAATATATAACTTTAAATTTTATCTTCTAAAATAAAAAAACATTAATATTAAGAATTGATGCATTATTTAAATATGTATCTAATTCATCACTTTTAACTATTTTTTTTAAATATATGTACTATTAATGCATTTGAATTTGAACTAGATTGATTATCACTTTCATTAGAATTTTGTATATATTCATTATTCCATAATTTTTTAATTTGTTGTTTATATGATCAGATTCAAATTCATTATCTATATAATAATCTAATTTAAATCTTAGGTTTATAACTATTTAATAAATATAATAAAATTATTAATATTAATATTTTATAATAAAAATAAATTAGATAAACTTATATATACTTGTTGAAATTACATAAATAAGTCCATCAGATGATGAGTAATATTACTTTAACTTAGTTTTAACATTATTAGCAGCCTTAATAATATTATTTGATTAAGCTATAATTCTTTTTATAATTCTTTAAAATCATTTTCATTATATCATATTTGATTTTTTTTAAAAACTTTTGATTGAAAAATTATGCATATAAATTTTGTTTAGATTAGCATATTAAATTTTAATATTTTTAATTTATAATATTTATATTGATAAATAAATTAAAAATTAAAAATATGTTAATTTTTTAATAATAAAAATTAATCTTTTTTTTATTAATATAATAGTTATTTATTAATTTTAACTAAAAAATAATGATTAAAAATATAATATAAAAATTTTAAAAATAGAAATTAAATTTTTTTTTATTTTTATTATATCAATTAATCAATCATAATAGTCAAATTTTGGAATTTA